TTTTTCTCCCCAAAGCCCCCCAGTACACAGTTGTATATTCTTCGTTGTGGGTCCTTCTAGTTGTGGCATGTGGGACGCTGCCTCAGCGTGGTTTGATGAGCAGTGCCATGTCCGCGCCCAGGATTCGAACCAACGAAACACTGGGCCACCTGCAGCGGAGCACGCGAACTCAACCACTCGGCCACGAGGCCAGCCCCTGAGAATTCAAATTTTTAAGATGTAATTTATCTCCATTATTTACAGCTATCACTGATATATCAGATCTGTATTCTTTCATCTTGCTTGAATGTTTTCTGTTTTCATGTTTCCTTGTGTTCCCTTCGTTTTGTAGAGTTTTTCAGAATGACTATACTTCTGCTTAGACGCTTGTGAAAGTTTTTTCTTCTCCTTATGAATTAAAATTGTTGCCAGGATACATCCTTGTGTGCCTTTGTGCTTTGACTTGTCTGGAACACAATGACTTTTTCAACATGGGTCTTACTTCTCATGAATTTTTCCTGTTACATCTTTAATTATTGCTTTTTTCCATTAGTTTAAGTAGCCTCTTCAAGAATACCAATTATCCATACATTTACTCTCTGCTTTTTAACATCCACATATTTTGTATTCTATGGAGGAAGCCAGAGCTCCCTGAAATCCTCCAGTCTCTGGACCCTCCAGTAAATTATTTCAGAGATGTGCTCTTCTCTAGGTCTTCCAGATACTCTTCCCTCCCTTGCAGTAGAGCCTTTTTCACAGACTCCATGTTGGTTTTTCCCTTTCTTATTTATCTCTGAATCAGTTGAAATCTATTCATATTTGGTGTTTATCAAAAGACAGGAGAATTAAAGTATCCTTGGTTCCACTATATCATAAATGTGCACAGCACCTGGTCCAAGCCCTGCTTTCCAGAGTGACTTCCTCTAATGCATACCTCTTCTAGTGAAGTTCCATCTTGCTTGACCAACATTGTCTAATTTCCTGGTACTGTGAACCAGCCATGTACATAAAAATCTACAATTCCCAGAATGCACTGTTACCCGGGTTTTGGTGGTAGTGGTGGTGGTGGTTGGGTTTTGGGGAGCTTTGTTGTTTGTTTGTTTCTGATCCAACCTAAACCTAAGGACTTTCACCTGCAAGAAATTTTCCCCTGCAAATGCAGAATACCTTCATCAGTCCTCCGACTCGACCAAAGCTGATCTTGCTTTCCGAGAATCCCAGTTGTTTACTAAGAATTTCAATTTCTCTGGATATGGAATGATGTGACAATATTCTCAGCTTCACAAATCAACCCACATGGGTAAAAGCCCACCTGCCCAGTTTTCCTGATAAGAGACCACAACAGAGAAGACGCAGCACCCTCCCTCCTCATTTCAAAGGGTTTCTGTGTCACGTAGTAAAGCCAACTCACCTTACCATCAAAAAGACTTAGATTTGTCTCAATCTTGCTTTATACTTGAATAGATTCTTCCCCAGTTTTGATATTATGTTGTCCATTGTTTTTATTTTTGTGTTTAAATTTTTACATTTTTTCTTTGTCTTTATAGATTTTTAATAGGAAAGTTGGAGAAGCCTTCATCAGGGCCTTCCAGCCAGGCTCCATTTTTAGACGAAACTCCTATAGCTTCTTAATGAATAATTAAAACATGTCTGGGGAGGATATTCAGCAACAAAATCAAAGCTAGAGATTATTCACTAAAAATGTGAAATCTGGGTATCTTAATGTGAAAAGAGAGAAAATATTATTTTTCAGGAGAGAAATAAAATTCCTAACAACTGACTAAGATGCCTTATAGGAATGATGACAAAGAATGGTATTCCCAAAATAAAAGGCTTATGCTGAGAGCTCAAGTTGCTCTCCACCCAAGTAGAATTAAGAGTACCATTCTGCAGATTTGGGATTAATGTCACCACATCGAGTCCTAGCTATAATGCAGGCAATAACGTTTTGTAAAAAAAGAACACCATGTGGCAGCCTTGCTAATCTTCTGGATGAGAATCAGTTGGAAGTTGGCAACATGCATTGACATGCCTTGGACTAAAAGGAGTTCTTAACATGACACTGCAGTTTCGGGGGCTATTCAGAGTTAATAAAAGACATATCGTCAAATGTAGTGTGGAATACGGGCAACTACAAAATAGTTGAATGTTAAGCACTTAAGTCAAATGAAATTTTTCATAAAAACTTGGGATAGTTCAAGCAAAAGCCTAGAGGTAATGGTGACGATGGTTAGTAGTTGATGTCTATTTGAATAGGATGTGGGGAAAATGCTGTTAGTGACGGTCCACTTAAGGTTGAATGTTGTCATCATTTTTTAAAGGAATTTAGGTTGTTCTTCAATTAAAGAACTTAAAGAAAGGAATGGGTAGATAGCTCACTCTGGGAGTGGAAACTGCTTCCACCAAGAATAAAATGTTCCCCCATGAGAAATATGAGCTCTCCATGTCTAGCACCCTAAATAAAGAAGGCCCAATCACCTTTCTGAGGTCAATGTTAATATCCCCAACCTTCCAAGAGTTGAACAGCTCCAAGTTCCTTACCAGTCAAAAGAGCAGAATTTAACAAGAAAGAGCTTGCCTTCACCATGCTAAAGAAAGGCTAAAACGGCAGCCTGCTTAAACCTAATTTCTCAAGAAGTACCATAAAGCAAGATAGGAACAAGGATACAGAAACAGGATGGGACCAAGCAGCTGAGACTGGGATGGGATCGGGAGGTGGGCAATATATTTTTAAAAGCAGAACCTCAGGACTCTGGCAACACATAACAGGGAAACATCTTGTTTGAACTAGTCTGTCCTGTCCTTTCAACAGGAGGGACCCTGCTAATCCTTGGATAAAATTATTTTAGAGCTGAGAGAGAATTTAGAGATTATCTAGACCAGCCCCCTCACTTGAGGACACTTAGGCCCTGAGAGATTAAAAGGCTTGCTGGGCTCATGCAGTAAATTAGTTGCAGAAGCGGAATTATAACCCCAAACCTCCTGATGCTCACTCTGATGCCCTTTCCACTACAACACCGATCTCCTGATGGCTCTTTTCGCAGAAATTCCAAGGGAGGCAGTGTAATACAGTGGAAAGAGAACTATGTCAATCACAAATTCTGCATTCTAGTCTTCTCTCTCCTAGTTTGAATGATAGACTCCTGGAAGTCAAGACTTCGTTTAGTTCAACTTGCCGCCCAAAGCAAGAAACCTCTACATAATATCCACGAGCAACTCAGTAGGCAACTGGGTTCTTGCGAAGCCCTCTCAGGGCTAGATATCCCACCACCTTGGAAGGAGCTGATGCAACTCAATGACCTGAAATCCGCTTCTCTGAAACTTCTATTCTGATCTCCAGGAAGGGGCTGTCATCTCTTTTACATGATAGCACTGCTCATCTAGTTCAAGAAACATTCACCAAAAGCCTATACTTGCTAGACTTTGGAGCTGTAAACTTGGAATTATAAACTTGACATTGAGGTACACATAATCTAGTCAGAGAGATGATCCTTAATCACTATTAAATATGATAACGCATGCTGATAATACGTGCCTACAAGTGCCAAGCACACGCAAACAATCAATATTAGACACTATTCTTATTAAATATTATGTAGCTCTTTCCTCATCTTGTGTTCAGACTAAATTTTCACTTCCTTCAAGCACGCAGCGTAGAATGTGGCCTGTAGATCAGGGGTCAGCAAACTTTTTGTTTAGGTTTTAGAAGACATTCATCTCTGTCACAACTACTCAATTCTGCATTTCTAGCATGAAAGCAGACATTGAAAAATGTAAAGGAACCAGTGTGGCTGTGTTCCAATAGAACTTGACTTATAAAAACAGAGGGCTTGCCAGATTTGACCTCAGGCCATAGTTTACCAACCTCTGCATGAGAGGCTTCACTATCCTCACCACCCACCTTCAGTTTCTCAATGTCTCTTTTAAAATGTGTCACTGAAAGCTAGACACTCTGCTCTAAAGATGGCAGGACCAGTATAAAGTACAACAGGGTTATTAAATACCATGAATAGGATATTCTAAGTCAATTGCTATGGTTCAAGATGGTCACTGTTTGAAATAACAATAGTACTTATATTAATTTATTTTTAGATTACAATGTGCTTTCAGAAATACTCTCATTTAATTTTACTCGTTATTGTTGGCTTACACTAGTTTTGAAGTAAAGTAGAAATCCTGGGAGTAAGGATGAGGTGCCTTATTACAATGAGGGTAGTAAGTGAAAGGTGGCATTCTGAACAATGAGGGACCCCTAGCCCCCTTTTCCCTAATCAGCTCTCAAAATTTCGAGAGGGAGACTTAAATCTCCTACCCCGACCAGGGTAAGAGATTAAAGGATTCCACTCTAGGGAAATAGGCCTTAAAAAAAGATACTGGCCTTTGAGAATCACCAAGTAAACAGCTAGGTTCTTTCTGAATGGATAATGAAACCCACTCTAGCAACTGTCAAGCTCTGCCCATGAATATAAAGCTTCCAACCAGCTTTTTAGTGCCTCATTTTTAAATATGAACAGACAGCCAAGGATCACCAGGCATTTCAGCAAAACCTCTAATCAATATTTAAGACAGAAACCAATATAAGCATGCAAAATAAAGGAGAAATAAACCCAGAGAACTAGAAATAATACAAGGAATTTTAAAAGAACTCTCCCCCAACTAATCTTTATTGACCAGGGCTAGGCACTGGTGGTCCAGCAGCGAACAGGAAAGATACAATCTCTGGTTTTGGAAGCTTATAGGCTAATGGAGGGTCAGTCCTCTTTATGTATCTCCTGAAAGACTCTTTCCACTAAAAGAGACGTTTTTTCCCAGACTAAAAAGTGTTTGGTTCTTAGTAAATCATAAGCCTGGTCCAGGTGATCAGCCTGCCCCATCATGACTAAAAGACCCAACCCTCGCCCCAGGTATTTCGTAGAAACTTAACTTTCCTACCCAAGGAGGTTTCCCCTGCCCCAGTTCTCTGACACATGTTGTATGTAAACACTTATGCTTTCTTGCTGCAGTCCCTCCTGACAACTGACCTTCATACAGAGTTGGCACAGAGTCGAAACCACCACAACAGTAGCAAGTGTGATATACAGCTGCCTTCTCAAATCCTTTCTGAAAAAAAAAATAGGATCTAAACAAGCAAATGAGGATAAATAGATATCTAAGATTCAGTTTAGCACTTTAGTGGTCTTTTTCATACGTTAATTCTCTGTTACAACCCCATTTAATCCTCCTTACAACTTTGTGAAGTAGATATTCTTGACCATATATGTGTGAAGTTCAGACGGGTTTAAGTAACTTACCCAGGGGTCCACAGCTAGGGAATGGTTCTGCCGGAGTCACACCCATGCCCTCTGCCACAGGTTCCAGGTTCTTCATTCCACTGTGCAGGCTGAGTTGTACAATGAACACCCCTCTTAAACACCTCTCACACACGCAAAAATACAACCTTGAGTAAAGTGACATCTATCATAAAATCACCTCCAAAATTAATCATTAGTAATCATGAATCACAAGTTAATCTCTGAATTGATACAAAAGAACACTTGATATTGCCAGGAAGCATGTAGTGAGGTGCCAAGCCCCTAATCCAAGAGAGACAGCAAACTCTAACAGAAAGTTCAGTGGCCTGTGGGGTGAGACACCAGCCATAATTCTGCCTCATGTTTGGTTACATCAGAAAACCTCCCCGGACTTCCTGATCCTTATCAATAAAATGAGAGACGGAAACTGGAAAGTGCTGGACACCTTCCAACGGTAGTATTACTTCTGAAAACACAGGACTTTAATTTAGTCCCTGTTTAACTGCATTTTATTAAGTAATTAATAAACATGAAAAATTGTTTAAACTCACTAATAATCAAAATCATAAATTAAATCAAGAGGCCAATTTGCCTATCAAATTAGCAAATATTTTCAACTTTTAATATTTCTTTAAGATCCAAGTAATACTTGTTTACTGGGGGGAAATTAGAAATAGAGATACAGAAAAGATTGTCCCCCATAATCTTCCGGTCAAAAATAACTGCCGTTAACATTTTCATGTGTGTCCTTCAGAAACATCATGTTATTCTTTTGTTTTTGTAACCAGTTGACTCCCAAAAACATATTGCATCTTTCCTTTGCAATATGGAGCTACACCATCCTTTTATGTGATTGTATCATCATTTATTCAACCAATTCCCTAGTACGGGACATTATTTGTTGCCATTTTGCTGTTGTAAACAGTGCTGAGGTGAACATCCTTGGACATATAATTTGTCTGATTATTTCCTCAGGCTAAAGTCCGATAAGCGGAATTCTGATGTGCACATGTTTAAGGCTTGTGGCAACTCTTCCCAGGCTGTCTCCAAAAGTACCTCTCCCTCTCCCACACCCCGTATGAAACTTCTTATTTCCCATAGCTTCACCAACACTGAGTAGAACTATCTTAATTTTTGCCAAACTGATAGGTAAACCTGTTTAACTTGGATTTCGTTGTTTATTAGCACGTTAACACTTTTCATACATGGCTACCAAACATTTTTAATTATTTATTTTTTTATGATGGTTATATCCTTTGCCCATTTTTCTGATGGAATGTTCATGGCTGGTGAATGTTGCCATATTCCCTTGGAATTTTTCACGCAAGGAATAATTGAAGGAAAAGAAGTCTGTTTAACTTGAAGAAAAGAAGACTCCGGTGAGACATGATTATAAATTATAGACATCTGAAGAACTTCCGTTGATACAGGAGTCTGTGTAGGATGCAGAAGGCAGACTGTCATTTATTAGGTGTTAAAATAAACAGGACATCTGGGATTTGTGCAAACCGAATAGGCTGAGATGGCTCTCAAGCTAGTCTGGGTGTCATTTGAAAGTGACCTCCCATCCATCCCCCTTGTAGATGGATAGACATGGGATTCTAGCCCTCCTTCCCCAACTCACAGCAGGGGCCCGGGGTCCAAGCTCATTGATACTCCAGCCCTTCACAGCTAGGCCAGAAAATCAGGGATGAGTGAAAGCGAATTCTAGTCTTGAATGATTACCACATTCAGGAGATGTTAGTCGTGGCAGAATTGTGCTCATCCCACTTCTTATTACGAATAGTATCACAGAACTCATGGGGATTACACAGGACAAATGAACCTTAACCACAAATTTCTGTCAGTGTCTTCAGAGGCCTCAGGCTCTAGTTTTAAGAGGAAGTATACCCCTTTAGGTCATAATTCAATTCTAAGTACAAGGGTAATTTCACACTCTCAGATAACAGAAGGCGAATCCCTGCCTGTCTTGAAGCTCTGAGAGCATCTCCCAAATGTCCACCTACTTGGAAGGCAAGCTATGTGATGGCCTTCAAGACCTACTATTAGTTCTGGTGGCAGTATATTCACCCCCACACAAGGGTCCTCAAGCCAGCCTGGACTCAATACCCAAAGTAACATGGAAGTTGGGATTCAAATATGGACAGCTCCATGTGACCTTCTGCCTGGACATCTAGGAGTAAGGTCATCTACATGGCAAGCTCCCTCAGCAGTAGCTTCCCTTTGATGTGTTCACTTACCCAGTGGGATTTCAGCCATGTTAGAAGCTACATTGTTAAGAACAGAGTCTGATCTTTTAAATCTGTCCGATACTCTACAGTCCAACACAGCTATGGTCAGCAGGCAAGTTGCAGTCTCATCATTCCAAAACCACTGGAAATGCTCTAGAGTAGGTTGTCTATCATAAAAGAAGTGAGGGCACAGAGCTAGACCAGGTCAGTTCCCCCTTTTGAGGACAATTCAGAAATTACCCAGCATCCATAGGGAAGTTGTCAAGGAGGTTAGGATTACTGCAACACAGACAGAGCATCACTCCAGTTGCCCATTATTAAACATAGAATTAGGAAATGATCCCTCACACTGCCTGGGTTCTTCCTCATACATGGGAACAGACTTGCCAGGACCCCAGCAGTTCTGATGAGCTGGTATAGAAGTGGCCATTCTATTTTCTTACCAATAACTGTACACAAGGAGTCAAATTTGGACAGACATCCATGCTAGCTTATTAAAGAGGGATCCGACAAAGCCCTCCAAGAACTGGACACCGAAAGTAATTGGATATGATCCTCTCTCATCTCTTTACTCTACTCAGAGATGGCAGATCTACCCATGCCAGGATGCTGTGCATTCGCTACAGCATTCCTAAAATCTAAAAAATTCCCATGCACAGGGCATTTCTTTGGCCTGCAGGTGAGCGTGACATTTCTCCACCTTCTCATTTGAGAAACACTAACAGATTTGATTGCTTGATATTTTTAAATTTTATAAATAAAATCACAGGCAAAATAAAAATGCAAACAACCAACTGGGAAAAATATTTACAGCAAAAGTGAAAGATAAACAATTCATATTTTTGCTCTTTGAGAAACTAATTTCTTATGAAAAACACCAAGTCATAAAAGACAATTAACCAAAGAGAAAACATAACTATTAGAAAACACACACACACAGAGGCCATCAAAAATGTTCGTTCAAACAAGGCACAACATTTTATTTATTACTCGGCCTCTCAACGAAATATTTTAATGGTATTTGTCAAAGCCCCAGAACTATAATTTTGACAGCCCTGAGCATTACCATGGGAGCCCCTAAAGGCCCCCAGAACAGCTAGGATTTAGAGGCAGAGTGTGCTTTTTGAGAAGGGATGAGTGACTGAGCAGCAACTGGAGGCCCCTTGAGACTCCCTACCACCTCCCCCCGCCCTAGGCCACTATCTCCCTGACTTTGCCCTCTTCCCCCACCCTTAGAGTAAGCTCGCATGAGCCCCTCAGAGCCCATAGGTCCCAATGTGGCACATTAGGTTTATCAGCTTCACTTCGTCCCTGAATGCCCCCATCTCTCTCCCTGGTTGTTTCATGATGAGCAGAGCGAGGGGGAAACAGTCTGGACCTCAGGCACCTCATACCTGAAAACATGTTGGCCCTTTCATAAAGAAAAGTAGTTCTAACTGTATAACAGAAAGCAAGTGTATGAGAGATTGGAACTGCGTGAACTGGTTTGCTAAAGATACAACTAAATTTAAGTTATTAATTCACACAGTGTAAGAGACAATCAATGAGGAGTATAGAAAGTATAGTGGTGACCTAGGATTTATGCTGGCTTTCACACTTTCACGATTTTTCGGAACGCAGGAATCGTTCACTAAATATTGACAGAAATTCTTAGCATCGAACGGAGAGTCCATTAGAAAAGACAACTCTGTCCCTGCCATTTGATTGGTCTGTAAGCAGGCCAACAGATTCCCTGACTAGCTAGTTTAATTAAACCCTAGGCAGCTGAGAACAACTGGGGGCAATCTGACCCCTAAAAGCAAGGAAAGAGGCCTGGAGACCAAAATGTGTTCCAAGAAGGGATTTTGACTCTAGATAGAATAAGTAATCAGGGATTAGAAAGAAGTGTTCACCGTAGGCAGGAATCGTAGAATTTTAGACTGGAGACGACCTAAGAGGTATCTTAAGATCTAAGTACCTGTACAACGCATGAATGGCCTCTACAGCGTTCCAGACGGGTGAACATGCAGTTCTCCTGGGAGGGCACCACCTTACAATGGAACAGATCTTCTTTCCATATGCTAAGCTGGAATCTTCCTCCCTCTGAGTTTAACTTTGGACTTAGGTGGTGTTGCACATGTCACCTGGAAATCAGTCCCGGTTACTTCCACCTAATAACGGGATCTAGGCAGGCAGGATGTTACTGATCTGAGATAATGTAGGGAGTGAACAGAACTCGGTGAGTGGGACTCAGCTTCATGCATCCCACCCATCCTTTTTTCCTTCCCTTTGCCTCAGAGGAAGAGGTTCTCTCCTCCGAAGAGGAGGAGCGTCTTTCCATCTGCTCTCTATCCTGTTGGTTCTCAAACTTTAAGGTGCATCAGAATTACTTGGAGAGCTTGATAAAATACAGATTGCTGTTTACCACCCCAAAGTTTCTGATTCAATAGGTCTGGAGTACTGCCCAAGAATTTGCATTTCTAAATTCCCCAGTGATGCTGATGCTGCTGGTCCAGGAATTACACTTTTAAGAACCACTGCTCTAGAGCAGAAGTCAGATAGTAAGTAGTTTAGGCTTTGCAGGCCATATGGTCTCTGTTGCAACTATTCAATTCTGCTGTTGTAGTATGAAAGCAGCCAAAGACAATATGTAAATGAATGGATATGGCTATGTTCCAATAAAACTTTATTTACAAAAACAGGCCATGGGCCAGCCTGCAGGCTGTCATTTACCAAACCCCACTGTAGACTCTTGCTTCTCAGAGTTCTACTCTCATCTCTTCCTTTTACAGACAAGTTTCTTAACAAGTCAACACTCATTGTTTCCATTGCCTCACTTTCCATTCACTCTGCAATCCTTGTAATCTGGCTTCTATTCCCTCCATTCCACTGAAATTGATCTCAGCACAGTCACAGTGCTGTCATCTGAGAGTTTTCAGTCCTTTTCTTATCTACACTTTCCTCTTGCAATGACTCTGTTGACTTCTCCATTTTTCTTGGAACATCTTCCTTCGTCAGCTTCTTGGACACCACTCTCTTATAGCTCCTGTCATAACTCTCTTTCTGCTGCTTCCGAGTTTTCCATTTCTCTGGCCAGGACGAGATTCACGGAAGTGAGACCAGTGCAAGTGCACAAGACCCAGTGTTCAGAAGGGCCCCTGCTTGGCGTTTAATGTCCTGCAGTCACAGTCCTGAAATTCTTAATAATTTTCTCTTTGAGTCTCTGTTTTGTAAGCAAAGTCCAATGGGACAACAGAATACACACTGGGCTTGGAGTCTCAGCTCATGCTTGTCCTGCCTCCTGTTACCTCCCAGAGAGGGGTTTTTGCTGCTCAGTGCAATGCCCCCTTGCATCCCAGGTCCTGCCTGCCCAACCCCAGCAACTCCACTGCTACCCCATGTCTGTTGCCGCTCTCTGACCCCGGAAAGGGCCTGGACACAGTACTACGAGGATCAGGGTTGGGCGCACATTCTATTCCTGTGCCACATTAGCAGCACCATGGCATGTATGGCAGGTGACCAACTGGAGGCTGAGTCTAGCCCCACAAACCTCTTGGCCACCCCCATCCAGGTACTCAGTGTGTTTTGGCACAGAGGTTTAAAGATCCTTGGGCAGCAGCCATCTGCCATGAGTTGGGGCAGCAGAGATCATGGATAGAGGAAATGACTGGCTCAACTTCCCCAAACTCACCTTTGGCCAAGGTGTGGTGTGGAAATTACATGTTGACAGAAGAGAAAACCTTGCAGCTTTTAGGCCCAAGCAAATGAGTAGCCTGTATCGTAGGGCACTTGCCCCACGAGCATCCCCTGGCCTGGAAGTTCTCCTTCAGCTGGCTCTGTGGGACAAGGGGAGTCGGGAAGAGAATCCTTTCTCTTCCTTCTTCCAACCTTTCTGTGTTTGGCTTGAATTTGTCTCTTCTGCCCAGCTTGAGCCACCCTCCAGAAATGAGCCATGAAATGTGAAGTGTATTATTTCAGTAATTCCACATCCAATTTAAATATTACAATATTTGCATTTAAATTGGCATTGATAAAAGAAGCTAGTCACAAAGCCACATACCGTATGATTCCATTTATCTTAAATGTCCAGAACAGACAAGACTATAGAGACGGAAAGTAGATTACTGCTTACCTAGGACTGGGGAAGCAGGTGATTGGTTCTGCTGATGGGTATAGGGGATTTCTTTCTGAGAAGATGAAAATGTTCTAAAATTAGATTGCGGTGATGGTTGCATAACTCTGTGAAAGTACTAAAAACCACTGAACTGCGCACATTAAATGGGTGAATTTATTGTATGCAAATTATATCTCAATAAAACTGTGTTAAAAACTGGCATTGCACAACATAAAGATGAAGGATAAAATTCATGCAAATAACTTAAAGTTCTACTTTTTCTTTATTGGAATAACATTAAATAGCAAATAAAAGGCAGCATGATGTCAAGAGAGTGACCACAGGAGAAAAGAAAAAGCTTTGTAATATAACTTTAATAGCAATTTTTTCCTGTGTTTTGAACAACAAGTTCTGTATTTTCATTTACTTTGGTTCTGCCTCTGACCTCTTAAATATTGGTGTTTTCCATGGTTTTACCCTAAACCTTTTTTTCTAACAATCTCCCCAGGCAGCCTCATTTAAGATCCAAATTTCAACTACCATATGTTCCTTCTAAACTCCCAAATCTTTATCTTCAGCCCAGACCGCTCCAGATATGAATATCCCAAGGCCCAGTGAATAACTCCACAGGCACTTAAAACAACATATATTCACATGTACTCATAATGTGCCCCTTTCTGTATTTCCTATTTTGGGGAAGGACATTACCGTCCACCAAGTTTCTCAAACCAGAACCACTGGAATCCTCTTGTTATTTCTCCCCACTCCCTTTCATTCAACCTTTCACTGAATTCTGTAAATTCTAAAACCCCAAATGTCTTCCCATCTAGACCTTCTTTTTAATTTCTTCTGCTTCTGGGCTGGTTCATAGCCTCATCAAACCCTACCTAGATTATTCAAATGGCTTTGAATCTCTTTGATATGAATATGAATCTTTTTGTCTTTGATCTCAATTACTTGCAATTCATCTTTCACTCTTTCTAAAATGTAAATCTGATCATGTCACTCCTTGGCTCAAAACAGGTATATGTGCCACCATAACCCACATGATAAAATGGAAATTCATCATGGCATACAAGACCTGAGGATACATAAAGTATTTTTTAACTTTCATCATCATATTTTTATAGTAGAGAAACATGGAAACAGGGTAAATGCTCAAGAAACAGGGGGTGATTAAGTAAATTATTGTACATCAACTTGACAAATGAGTTTACATAAAATATTAATGGTAAAATAATGGCAATATATTCACATGGTACTTTATTATATTATACAGTCATTTAAAATCAGATTTTTAAAAAACAATTTCCAGTAGTGTGGTGGACTAAATACCAATACTGACCATAAGTTAAAAAAAAAACCCTAAAACTGAAAGGTAAAAATTTTTATAACATCTTAAATTAATTTATGATTTGATAAGAAAATAAGATACCCAACCCAAAAACTAAATGATGGCAAAACTCAGAGAAGAAAAAAGAGCACTGAAGCTAGCTTTCACCATGAGAATATTTGCCAAATCATCTCAATTTGAGTTTAAATTTTCACAATCTCTTGAAGATTGCTCAATTTGAGAAATCTAATGGGCAACTCTCCCTATAAAGTTGAGATCTCAAAGGGCTATGCCCCCAGGGTAAGGATAAACCAGAAATAAGCTGATTGCCACCTTCAAAGAACTTTTAAAGAAATTTTCTTGTGTAGAACCTTCATTATGAGTAGAAGTAACAAAATTTAAATCTCCCTTGAGAACTGGTAATGACAACCAGCAGTTATTTGGGTTTGCACCCAAAACTCACATGATTTGATAGATTTCAAAGAAATACATTTTTAAAATCTCAAGCTGAGAACTTAGCTTGAAATGTCCCTGCCACACACTGATGTTACACCTCCACCCCAGGCACACATGATGAAAACAAATGCAAATTCCCTCTGAAAGAAACCGCCTTCAGCACAGTCTCATAGAGTTTATCCAAAGTTCCAAGGCACAAATCACAGCTAAAATTCACAAAATGCTTAATAACATAAGATGAAACAGCAGACAGAAGTAGAGCTGCAAATACTTAAACACTGGAATTAGCAGACACAGAGGAAAAACTAAGAACATTTAATATTTTCAGGAAGTAACAAATAGAGTTAAAAACATGAACAAATAGCAATCAGATTTGAAAAAGAGTAAAAAGAACATCTAAAACTTTAAAATATAATCTTTTTTTGTTTTGAGCAAGATTAGCCCTGAGCTAACATCTGCCACCAACCCTCCTCTTTTTTGCTGAGGAAGACTGGCCTTGAGCTAACATCCATGCCCATCGTCCTCTGTTTTATGTGGGACACCTGCCACAGGGTGGCATGAAAGGCGGTGCATAGGTCCATACCCAGGATCTGAACTGGCGAAGCCTGGGCCGCTGAAGTGGAGCATGCAAACTTAACTGCTGTGTCACCAGGCTGGCCCCTAAAATATAATCTTTGAAATTAAAATCTCCATGGAGGAGTTCAACAACAGATTAGACATAGTGGAAAAGAGAATCAATGAATTGGAAGATAAATCTGAAGAAATTATCCAGAATGCAGTGCATAGAGAAAATGTGAAAGAAAGGTTAAAAAACATAGACTATATGTAAAAGCCTAGCATATATCTGTTTGCACTTCTAGAATAGTTTTACAACATTTTAAAATTAGAATAGTCTTACAACCATTAAAGTAATGGAATCAGAGATACAAAGTTTCCACATCTGGAGAAAACTCCAGATTTAGATGGCTTCAGTAGCAAGTGCTACCAAACATTGAATAAAAAATAATTCCAAACTTACAAAAACTCTTCCAGAGAATAAAAAATAAGGGAATACATTGCAATTTATTTTCTCATTTTATAAGTGTAGTGTAGCCTTGATTCTAAAACCTGACCAGGACCTATGAAAAAGGAAAAACACAGGCCAATCTCAATCAAGAACTTGGATGCAATAATCCTAAACGATATATTAAATTAACAAAATATAACAATTATCAGTATGTGGAAAGGATAATCCAGCAATATCAAGCTGGATTTACGCCACAAATGTAATATTAGTTCAATACTAGAAAATCAATGAAATTCTGCACATTAATAAAGAAGAAAATAATATGATCACCTTATAGATGAAGGAAAAAAAACTTTTTAATTCAATATTCATTCATGATTTTAAAAAAAGCTTAGCAATCTAAAAATAGAAGTGAGATTCTTTAAGTTGATGAAGGATATTAACAACAAATATAAACCTACAGAAACCATCACAATTGATGAGGAAACGCTAAAAGCTTTCCCTTTGCCTTAGGAAACAAGATCTACTATCCCCACTTTTATAAAATATTTTGGAAATCCAAACCAGTATTGTAAAAGAAGAAAAGAACAAGTGATATAACAACTAGAAAAGAAGAATTAGAACTGTCACTTTTTGTACACGACAGAATCCCAAACAACTTATGGGTAAATGATTAGGATTAAAAAGAAAATTTAGGTATTTTTCTGGATACAAAGTCAATTTACAAAAATCAATTATATTTCAATTACAGAAGAGACAGGTAATTAAAATATGCATTCTTAAAAGATGCCGTTTTCAAAAGTATTAAAAAGAAATTTAACAAAGTTGTACAAGTCCTCCATGAAAAAAAATATTTTAAAAAATTATAAAAAACATCCAAGAAGACCTAAATAAATAAAACAATATTCCACATTCATTACACTAGAAGATTTGGTATTGCTGAGACGTCCATTTCCCCTAATTTAATCTCCCAATTCAATAAAATTCTAAATAAAATCCCAGCAGGTTTTTTCATTGACTTTGTCAAGCTGTTTCTAAAATTTATATGGAAGAACAAAAGGCCAAGATTAGTCAATACATTCCTGAAGAAAAACAAAGAGATTTGTTTTACCAGATATCAAAACTTCATATAAAACTGTTGTAATTAAGAAAATGAGATATTGGCATAATGACAAACAAATTAACCAAAGGAACAAATTGACCAGAAATTGACCCACACATATATGGAAACTTGCTTTATGACAGGGCTAGTATTGCAAATCAGTGCAGAAAGAATGAATTTTTAATAAATTGTGCTGGGACAATTGATTAGCCTTATTTAAAAGAAAAAAAGAGAGAAAGAAAATGTCCTTTACCTCACATGACATGCAAAGTCAATTCCAGGTGGGTTGAAAACCCAACTCAAAGACAGAACTATAACATTTTCAGAAGAAATCTTGGAGAGCATCCTAACACAAGGAAGGAAATTTTACTTAAGACACAAAGGGCACAAATTTCAAAAGAAAATTTTACAAATTTTTACTACATTAAAATTAATATTATCTGTTTATCACTAGACACCATAAAGACAATGAAAAGCAGAATGGGAAGAGATATTTGAATCCATATAACCCAGAAATTCATATTTAGAATGCCTACAAACCAATAAGGAAAAGAAAACCCAAGAGAAATAGATGCAAAAGTGTGAACAAGCACTTCACTAGAAGATAAACCACATGAAAAGATGTTCTCATTACTAATTAGAAAAATCCATATTTCCACCAAATGAGAAAGCATTTCATACCCAGGAAATTAGCAAAAATTATACTGTCTGATGATATCAAGCATTGACAAAGGTGTACAACAAGCAGAATTCTTACGCATTGCTAGTATGAGCATAATCTGGTACAACCACTTTGGAAAACAATTTGGAATTACCTATATATTTGCAGAGGTGCACACCCTATGACCCAGCAGACTCAGTCTTAGATATACATTATAAAGAAACTCTTGGACAATTGTATTAGGAATTGTGTATTACAATGTTCTTTGTATTACCATTTATAATGAGGGGAAAAAACAAAACTGGAATAAGCCCCAATGTTCATCATGGACAATAAGTTGTGGTATATTCATGTAATAGAAAACTCTACAGCCATGCAAATGAATACAATATAACACATAATGACTTGGAAAAAACATAGGTACTCAATATTTGGTAAAAAAAAAAATCATGAAAAAAATGCATCCATTATGAGCCCATTTAAATATAGATTAAAAATGCACTATGTTATACATTTTTCAGGGATACAACCAATATATGATAAAATTATAAAGAAAATCAAGAGTATAATAAACAAAAGATTTAGAGTGGTTGGTCATATGACCTCCAGGATGGAAGAAAGAGGATGAGATAGGAAAGAGAGACACAGGGACCTTCAAAGATAATGGTAAGGTTCTTTATCTTAAACTGAAAGATAGGCATATGGGGGTTGATTATATGTTGATTCTTTAAAGCTTATATGTAATTTATAAATTTTTGTATATATGCTACATTAAACAGTTTTAAAAGAACATCTATTGACATGAAAATGTAGATTTGTTAAAATGATTGTTACAAATTATACTACATAACAATATAGAAACATGCTTTTGATGTATTATTTAAAATTAGAATAAAAAAATCACATGTTGAAAACTATGACTACAACTACACACAAATTATAGTTGTAAATGGATACAAATGGAATATAAGCACGGGAAAAGAAAAGACACGACTTTTAGTTTAATTTTTCTTCTTTATTTCCACTAATGTGGTCATAATTCTGTGCCAATAATAAAATGATATAATTAAAACAGAAAACTGATGCTCTGAACAGGTTTTCCGTTAAAGCTGTTTGGACCTTAGGCCAGATAACCAAGTTACCATCATCCACTTGGTGGCAGCTTATCTCAATTGCCAAGTATTCAAGGAAAATATTAGTTTCTTGATTGCTGCACTGGCGAACCTTGCTTTACATAGCAACCCAAACACGTCTCATCAGCCTTCTTCATCCATGTTACCTTTCACCATAATCCTGACAGCTACAAAAACATGGTACCCAGATGGCCAAGAAAGGACACCGTCACAAAATCTTTCCTAAGGCCAACTCTGCAACCCAATGACCTCACTTTGTAAAAGACATTGATATTAGGTTGACAGAAGAAAAGACTATGACCAATTTACTCCTCGTTACTAGGGAACTAAGAAGAGGGATTTAAGGAAACTACACTGGGTTCTATTTGATTTGCAACCAAAGCTGTTCTTACTCTTCTGCACTGAAGTATCATGAATAATCCAAAGTCATCAGAAATACTTCATTGCAATCATATTAAGAAATAATCTAAATGTTTCTCAAAGAGACATAAACAGGAAATTTGAGCATTAATACTTACTGTTATACCTGTCTAAATATCTAAAGTTTATAAAAGAATGGAAAATGAAGTACAAATTAGTGATGGTGTTGAAATGACTTTTAATCACAACTAAAGTGTTCATACCATCGAACTTAGAAGAAAAAAATCAATACTGCTATATTGAAGTTAAGAATAAATTAGAGGCAAGTAAAAGTCTGGAATAACAATATGCTATAAAAATTACTGATATAAAAATATGCCATTTAACAAATTTGATACTACAGAGACATAAAATTCTACATGGAGTCTGGAAGCAACCATGTGAACATAAGGAGGCAGCTGGGGTAATGCCAACATGGTTAATTCAGAAACTCAAATTTATAACTGGTTAGGTTTAATTTCTGTTTTAAAGATAAATTACATGCCAGAAATCTATATGCTTCAGACATTTTCCTACTGATATTTAAAGGTAAAAACTGGACAAAATAAAAAATTTTTTTCAGTAAATATCTTACCTCTTTTCTCCCCCAAATCTCATAAACACCTCAGTTCACACACATGTATGCACACACTCTCACATGTATTCACACGCACATCTCCTAAACTAGATTTTCAGTAATGAACAATTCTAGGTTACCAACTCGAATGTAACATATAGGTATAAAACATTGTAATTGTTTAAAAACTAGCTGCATAATTTGGGCGTTCAAAGACTTTTAAAGAAATTGATTAAGGAAAAGTTGGAAAAGAAGCTCAAGTTGATTGACAGTTTGGAGTTTGTGTTTCCACCATCTGATCATAGCCAAGATGCAAATGTGATTAAGTTCTGAGAGACAGGAATCTGTGAAGGGTCTGTAGCTTCTTAGAATCTTCCCTCTAGGTACTATCCAACAAGGGCATCAAGGGTGACCTCCCAGCTTGGTGCCTCAGCAACCCCGCAGATTAGGAAAGGGAAAATAATCT